AATATGAAGAGTTTAAAATTGGGATTATAAAGGTGAAATTTTAGTTGAGCCCAAGGGCAGTTGAGGCATTTGAAAAAATGTTGTTCTTTATTCCTTGAACTTGAACAAAGAATTCTGAGTCCCGAGTCCCGACTTCAGCACAAATAAAAAAACTATTATTTAAGATTAAAATCATGCATACTGGTTAAACTCATTGAAGGATTTTAATGTTTGAGGTAAAATACACTTTATCCCTAGGCAGTTTAGCGATTTTTCATTTAAATCCTCTGTGGTTTCAAAAATTATACATAACCTCTTAATCATTGGGGTTAAAATATCAAAATGACGGAAATAATTTTCTACAATGAAACTGATTGAAATGTTGAGATTACTCTTGTTTAAAAACTAAAATAGTTGAAATGACCAAAATATATAAGTATAATATGCATGAAATTTTAACCTCTTATGATTTTGTATTTTACCACATAATTCCCTTATAATTAAGTACTTTACCACATAACTCCTTTATGATTTTCAAAATATATACATAATCCCTTTGCAATTAATAAATAATTTTTAACTTTATATAGGGGGACTTTTGACATTTTAGTTGATTTCGTTATGAATGTAAATTTTTGGAAGCTACAAGAGAGGTGTGGAAAAACGCGCTAAACTATAGGGGGTTAAAGTATATTTAACCCTAATAATTGTGATCGAACATGTCTATTCCAGTTGTTTGACTAGGAGATTAGATTTAGTGCAAAAATTTGGAAGAAGTTACTTCGAAATAATTCAAAAGTTAGCCGCCATAAAATGTTTTGAAATGACTAATTTTAACTTCAAGATTTTGGGATTTCATACATTAACCGCTTAACTATTGGGGAGATTAATGAAGAAATTGGTCCTCCTATAAATGCATATTCCACTACCACTTGCACATATATGTTCCATCCATCTATCTGGTTCTCGTTATGAATACATTTTTAGTGGAATTACCTCAAAAGTGCTTGGGATAGTTGATCAGTAAAGTTTATAACCAAATGATCCAAAATTACTAGAGAAGTTCAAGTACATTTCTCAAGAGAAATTAACTAATCGTTCCTTACTGCACTCAATTAAATACAATGACATGCATGAAGTCAATAGTGCATATGTAAGCTAAAAATTCAAATTCTCTTTTAATTTGGTGGACTTTGAATACGATGTCCCTTTGAAAGAGAGCTGCAATTGCATACTCATCACGAAACAACAATCCGTCAAGCTAAGAAAATCCATAACCTAGTGTGTAATCATGCTTTTAGAGTGTCACTATTTCTTAAAGTCATCATGGTTTTGTTGAATTTGACTGGCAATTAAATTAAGTGGGTTTAGGTGAAATGATAACTATTGCAATTTCTACGTACTTTCCTCTAGGAATTAAATCAATTGTCTATATTTGTTCTCTCTCTCTCTCTCACACACACACAAAAGATAAGTTCTCCTTGCTAAATGCCACAATCCAAAAAATGTGGCTTCAAAGAGAATTTGTATCGCGACGCTCCTTCTGTTCGGTACGTTCCATTCCCCAAGCAAAGTGACCAATATTTTATTAGGTTTCAAGCTACATCTCCAACATAATATATTAATCTACAATAAGAAGAGTCTTTTTTTTTTTTTTTGGTAATTATAGATTTACTTCATCAACACAAGTTGGATCAACTGATAAGAACGGATCATTTTCTTATAAAAACGTCATGTATTTGAATCTTACTGTTGATGTGAGGATTATATTGGTAAACAATCTGCAAGAATTCCAATAAACGATCCATGCTTTTGGGGGCATGATGGGAGCTGAACTTATCCAAAATTTTTAATTACCAAAATAAAAAAAAATAGATTCACTTCATGAGCTTAATTGTCACATTCGCAGATTTTATGGTCATCCAATTTCATTGTCAATGGATCTATCGTCGTAATTAATGTACAAGTGGTCATTGTAACTTTATCACCACTTCATCTCATGTTGCCAATTGACTTCTTCTTTGCCTTGTTGGCTCTAGTCAAAAGGGAAAAATGCATGCTTTTAATTAGAAGAGAAAATGTGTTTTATTTTTTCTTTTTAATTTGGCGATAGCATAAAAATCCCTAACTCACATGCTTCTGGTCGCAACTACTGCTTTCACAAAATATACATTTGATAATGTGTCGCTCAATTGTAAATAACTACTACTAATTATTTGTGTTTGTGCACAATTGTGGGTTTCAGTTGTGATCTTGCACTCATGTATTCTTATTAAAAATATTCAGTCATAAATAAAGTGGTATGATTGTTTGAACTCTTGCCCCATGCGGTTCATATTTGCTAAGGTTGAAATTCATTAATATGAGTTTATTAAGTTACTATGGTTTTGTATTTTGGCGACAACCTTTCTGTGACTGTGTTGTGTTTTGTAACAACTTCTGCAGTTTAATTCATTTTGATGAATTTTGTTGCGTAAAATAGACTAGTAACACTTGATCTTTCTAGTGTTCTTCTCAATATTAAATTTTGAGGCTTTATGACTAATTAATGTTCTCTCTATTTTCTCAACTTATGGACTAGATATTAATGGTAAACCTGAAAGTAGACGGTAGTCTTCTACTCTCTGATAGTGGTGCAATTAATTAGAATTATTTAATTACCATTCTGTGTGCCTATTTTTTAGTTTCTTGAGTTATTGGACAAGGGATGAAAATTACAATGAAGACAATATGCTATTACAAAATCAAGGAAGAAAAGATATTATTGCAAAGCTTCGGAAATCTTTCAATTTTCCGTTTATTGGGCTCTGGATGGATCTCCCTAGTCCGTAATAAAGAGATTGTTCTCTTTCAGGGGTTTTTCAGTTGCACCTAATTTACAGAAAATTTTGCATGCGGGTAAATACATCATCAATTGTCGTTTCTCCTCCAATATACACGCTTTTTCATTTGATTTTAATTTTTTTTTTAAAAAAAACAATACCTGAAACCTCTATCAACAAGTGGCATCGCACTATTAAATAGACCTTTCTTCTGATAAGAATGGAGAATAAGAAAACAGATAAGTATGACAATACAATTTTATTATATACGCTAGTCATGATGACCCCATGCATTCCACGAGATTGCCTTGTGTTTGTGATTTTTTTTGACTGAGCAATCAACTTCCACGGAAGTAACAAAAACAAATGAAACAAACCAATGAAAAACAAATCAACGTTTATACACAAATATATATAGGATTAATTTTATATACACTGTCGGTGTATACACTATCACGATTGGATGAATGATACATGAGCAAATTTTGAATTTCAATTTTCAATTCAAATTTTGCATATGTATCATATATCATTCATCTAATCGTGATAGTGTATACACTGACAGTGTATATAAAAATTACTTATATATATATATATATTTGCGTATAGTAGAAACAATGTAAAAAGAATCCCTTAAGTTTCAAGGTCTCATGCATCATTCATCTAATCGTGATAGTGTATATAAAAATTACTTATATATATATATATATATTTGGGTATAGTAGAGACAATGTAAAAAGAATCCCTTAAGTTTCAAGGTCCCATGCATGCTTAGATATTGCGAACATAACAAGTACTTGTAAAGACTCAACCCTATCAAGGAATTCAAGCATGATCATGATAACAAAAATTTTTTTTCTAAGGGTCAAAATTGAATACGCAAGGCTTTGACAAAAGCTATCTCAAACTTAACCTTAGAATTTTTAATAGGATACCTCCAACGTCAAGGTCTTATGGAGTTAAACTAAGTGCTTATATTTATTGGTCTACAATATGAGTCCTATTATATATATATATATATATATACTCACATGTATAAGTCTTATTACATGATTTGTCCTCATAAATTTGGTCCTTGCGAACGAATCTTCCGGGGCTACGCACAGCTATAAGGCCTAAGAATGCATGGAATACATTGCACTTGTTTGTATCCACAGGGTCTTGACTTCTTTCATTGGTGGTAACGTGCCTTGAGAACATTGATCAGCTACTGTTGTGCCCTAATATGTCGAGAGTTACAAAGACGAACTTCAAAAATTCCCAAAAGAAATTCTCTAAGACTCTAACCACTTCCCAAATAAATGAGTAATTTTTCTGATGTTAATCCGTCGGTGTTGGCATATTCATTTCGATCCTAACAAGATAAAAGAAGTTGAATGTTTCTGCATGGATAAGGATGAGCTAGTAGATTAGGCGTCTTGCACTCAGTCTTGCTGTGGACTTTGCATGTAAAGTCCAATCTCAACTCTCAAGATATAATTTACAACTCCGGCAGGTATCGTTGCAATTTTGATGACGTGCACCTTTATATAATTTCTTTTTTTTTTTTTTAGATATAATAGAATTTATTCTACACCTATTCCTAATCTATACGAGGGGAGGGGGATCTAAGCACTGACGAAATTTTCAGAAAAGTCTGGATTTTTTAGAATACAGTCCAAGAGATTTAATTTCTTGACTTACATTTAAGTAGAGATTTGAAACTCTCTTAATGGCCAGCTATTTTAAAAGTAGTTGTACACCTTTATATAATTTCATTACGCACATAGATTTTCTTTGTGTAAACCAATTTAATGTATACGAACATACATATATATATATAGAGAGAGAGAGAGAGAGAGAGATGTACACAAATAATATAATGGGTATTTGCACTCAATTGCGCCGAACCTCAACTGTACAGCCCAGCCGCCAAAATAAGTTACCTTTATATATATTAGGTGTGAATTTGAACTGGCGATTATTGCTGATCTTTCATAAAAGATAAATATACTCCCACTAGCAAAGAAAACCTATTAATTAACTAGCATGAAAACCTTCTTCCAGCTGCTTGTCATTTTGCTGAATTTGACTAGGCAGCACTTGACCAATTCATATTTTTTTGTGTAAAAGGACTTAATTAATTTTCTTTTTATTTTTTCTATGTTTTTGGTGACTGCCCTCTGTGCTATAAATACCACGGCAGAACCCTTTGGAGCATAACCCACCAAGACATGGCTGGTGCAAAAGTTGGTATTATCACTCTCCTCTTTTGCGGTACGCTCAATTCTGCAAATGATTCACAATATGTAGTTGGTTTTCATTCCAAGCTAGAGTATTCTAAATATATTTTCCGCACTAAAACCTTTCATCTTTTCTGTGTTGACAAATTTCATGTGATTAATACTCTGGATGTCCACAGATAATTTATGGTCAGCCAAATTTAGTATTGATTGATAATATATTGTTTCCATTTCAATTTGCGATATGAATTCCTCGTTCATCTACTAGATTGATGTACATGATTTCATTTGACGTACACGCACATGTACTTGTTTCATTTGACTGTTGTATGCGTAGTTAGACGAGTGGCCATTTTAGTGGAAATTAAATGGGGATTTACAATAAAGTCAGTGCTTGTGATTTGAATTGAAACAGCAACAATCCTACTGGGATGGAAGCCGGAACATGCAAGTGCAAAAGTATGCCCACTCGTCTGCTTCAAAGCAGCTTACATGATTTGCCCACATCCACCTCACAAGAAACTTCGGCCCGTCTGCAACTGTTGCTTGGCTAAACCACACTGCAAGCTTTATCGTCATGATGGGACTGTGATTTGTACTGCAACCGGATGAGCCTTCGACAGTCAATGGACACAAGAACCTCTTCAAATTGGCTGCAAGCTTGTGACAATTAGTAGTGTTTCAATAAATTGGGGCCGTTTGGGAGTTAATTATTTCATGTACTGTTCTGTTAAATATAAATAAAAAAATGTTAAATTTCTTCAATCCATTTTTAAGATTATGTTACTAAAGATAACTTGCTGGGTAAAATATCGAATATGAAATGCATGTTGATCGACGAGCCGCTAAAGATGAGTGTTAATGTATACAAAAGGAAGACTTTATCGTAAGACGTAAGACGGACGGATCTTCAATGGAGGCACCAGCCCGTCTGGATTGTTATTATTAAATGTTTTTGTAGAAAAATATATTATAACGATTTGATGTATGTGAAGTAAAAAAAAAAGATTGCAAAATATATTTACGAAAAACATAAAAATTTTTCTGCAGAAAATCGCAATCCCGACTACATTATGTACAAATGAATAAATATATAAATAACTAGTTTTGCATTGAACAATTAAAAAACCTCAGGCATTTAACATCATTGAAACTTCTAATAGATTATCATTCACTAGTTATATGAATAGTGTGGGTATATTTCAATGGGAAAAAAAAAAAACACGGGTTACTTAATAACTATAGCATACATGTAAATTTAATGCATTATTATTCATTATCCATTTGTACTTGCATAAATTAGCCATTTTACTAGAAAAATAACTTTCCTAGTTATGGGAGATATACAATCAAGTTAATGCTTGTGATTTCAATTGAAACAACGATCAAAATTAAACAGTGCTTAATATATTAAATTGAACATATTAATTATTAAACATGTTGAATTCAAAAAGTTTTGAATGAGTTAATTTTTTGCATTAAGCTGAATTATCAAACAGACACTCGAGGTAGAACTTGGAACAATGAAAAGTCGCTGCTAGACACCTCTTCACCTTCCCTTCCCCAACAACAGTATTCTGAGTAACAGCCCACTACATTCACCCTTAAGAACGACCATTTATCAATATTTTTGTATTTGACCGAGGAAATATATACAGAAATATAAGGTTTACTGTTTATCCAGATTATAAATCTCATCAAAAGTTATAAACATTGGCAGAAAATAAGGCAAGAAATATTCGAGGAAAGGACTCTAGAAATCAAAATTGACAAGGCAGCGAAGTCAGGACATATATGCAACGAAAAGGCATATACGGCCACGCTTTTCCTTTCTTTCGACGATTACCTCTGTGACATTCTCTTGGAAAATCAACCCTTTTAAGCCAAAATGTCATCAATGACTCTACTTATGAGCAAAACCAAGTAGAATGTTAATATATCATCTCCTCTCTATTGTGTCAGCTGCATATAGATATAATATGAAGCATTCACCAAGAGCTTCTTGCCGAACCATCTCAAGGGAAGAAAAATCACCCAATCCAAAGGCTGCAAGTCAAGAACTTTGTATCATTGCTCATCCATCTTGCATCTAGTTAAGCTGCGGCAAAGAAACAAACCTTTTTAGCACTTTGTAGAAAGCACGAGGTCAAAACCAACAATACACCAGAACTAGTCAGTTGGAAAATGAGAATCATACCACCTGTTACAGAGTACCTTTAATGAAATTCTGATGCTTTCTTCACTCCCATAGACCTATATGGAACTATAATATGCTCGGGAGGCAATAATTCCTCGATGCAATCATACCTGCAAATAGTCATATGTATCCTCAGATTTTGCCAAAAAAAAAAAAAATGAATTTAAATAAAGTCCTAGCCCTTTCACTTAATTATTATAAATAAAACTAGTCCAGTTTCTCAATTTCAGATGTTCCTTGGTTCAGGTTCAAGTCCAGTTAGTAAAGCTCACAAATTCTTGCAGAGGTTATTGATAACAGTGGAGAGAGTAATAATCTGCCGTCTTGTATCGAGGACGTCCCTTTCTTCCCAATCATCAAAAAGCTGTTCCGAAAGGTTTTCAATCTTAGCCTGAAGCTGTTCCTGATGGTTCTCAAAAAGATTCTGCTTTGGTTCCCTGACATTCTGTTCCATTGCGTACTTGAATTGGTCATCATAAAACATGTAATATCCAAAAGGATAAGAATAGGAGAGAATCCTCCTTGATCTGAAAAGTCTATTGAATCCAACAGTCACCCAGCTAAAATCTCTTAATTCATGGTTCTTTTCCTCCAAGATCTCAATTTTTGAATTTAACCTGCTCTGCAACCTTGCTTCAAGCTCCAAAGAGTCTGTGTGGGCTTTGAACTGAATACAACTGTGAGAATAGCCCCAAGGTTGCCTTTTTGCAAGCCCATCTTTCTCCAATCTATCGTCTTTATATTGGCCACAAGGATGATGATCTGCAATACTTGTGCTAGTTTTTCCGCCACAAAGCCAACTGTGAAAATAAGGACAAAAAGGTAAATCGCATCATTTAATTTTCCCAAAACATATCCAAGACAAAATATTAACAACATGCAGTAAAGAAACAAAAAGAAGTTGTCCTTCATGTACTGAAATATCAGGCAAGCAGTAAGATAGCAGAAAAGACATGCAGTACTAGAAAGCAGGCAAAATCCATTCTCTTATCTACAAATGAAAATCAAAGACATGGTTTTGCTGATAAATTTTGGTAATGGATGACTAAAGTTGTATAAACATGGATCAATTAAGAAAGCAGATGACAAAGAAGTAGCAAGGAGCATGCAGACAAAGTTAACAAGTAAACAAAACGTAATGCAGGAAATTTGAAACTGCCAATGAACTTGTGGATAGCAGCTGCATGCCCTTACTGTGCATAGGGTGCTAGTTATGATTAGATTGCAAAAGTACAAGTGTACTAAATCGTGCATGTTGTGCAGAATGAATAATTCCGTGACTGGACAAATCAAACTGTATAAGCTGAGTCAGAATCTTAAACCAACAAAGAATAGGAAGACTCACCAAAATTGTTGTCCACACAAACAACGCACTCGGTTGCATCCTCCATTCTTCTCCACTGGTTTATGACATTTAGGGCAATACTTGGTATTCGTAGAATTAACCATCCCTGATTCATCCTGGCGCTTTTCCTTCCAAAGCTTCCACATCAAACATGGACAAGGCGAGTGAGCTTCAGATGAGCAGCTGAAACAGAACTGTACACCACAAGCACATTCAACCTCACAATATTCATCGCGCTCAACACGAATTGCATTTCCACAATGAGGAACGCTAGGACACCATTTTACTTTCTTATTATCCTCAACATATGATTCTAAAAGAATCTTATAAAACATTGTTGCAAGATGAGGATCTGCTGTACTAACTAGATTTCTAACATTTTCTTGGTCACAAATTGCTTCGCACTTGTTGGCCATGCATGTAATCCGTCTACTCTGACCCTCTTGTATCTTCATGATAAAATGCTTTGTCCAACCTTAACAAAAGAAAAGAACAGAAAATGCTTGACATTCTGCAACTACAGCATAGAAGAACCTCCTAATAGGCACATCTACTAAACAATTCACTGGAGCATCTAACTCAAGCTATTCAGCTATTGAAATAAACTTCAATCTACTTAACCCTTTAAATTTGCTGCTTTTATGAGGTCTGGTTACAAAATTAAGCACTTGATGAAAGAGATTTAAAAAGAAAAAAGAAAGTTAAAAGCAGATGCGTGATTTGCATTAACATGCACCTTGACTCTATTCTTATAGTGCCTAAGAAGTGCAACATGACAAACATCATCAGCAAACTAGTTATTTAACAAATAACCGTATTATCCAATAGTTTCTAATCAACAAGCTTAAAAATTAATTTAAAACTCAAGTTTGTTTGACCTCATTTTTAATTTCACAGAATAAACAGCTCTGAGGATGTGTGACCAAAACTCCTACTTATAGTTTCTCATATTTGTTAATTCATCAATGTATCTCAAATAAATTGAAGTTCTAACATCCGTTATGATTTAGAATATCAGAACATGAGCACAGTTTCAGAGGTTCAATTTTCAGCTACCATTCCAAACATTAACTAAAAAACACAGAATTTGTATTTCATATTAACACATTCTTCCAAGGACCAAGAAATTGATTACAAGTTTTTAATCTTCATTTAGATAACACGCATATGCAGGATCTGGCATCATGAGAAAAGTCAAATGAAAAGATAGAATGCCATCAAGCAAGAGACTCACAGATGTTGCAAAAACAATGGCCACAATCCATCATCGAGGACTCATAAGCATTGACATGCTTAAAGCAGATTTGACAGGTAACTTCGTCTGAAGACAGAGAGGAGTTAAGGTCCTTGCTGCTCCTGACTGATAGACCTGCTTCTGAATATAACCGTTCTTTACCTCTCTCTACGAACACCTTTGAAACTGTTTCAACATCCCAACAGTGATAAATCAGCAAGGTCCGCGCATGGTGCTCCTTTAAGGACAGCAAATCCATTGCTTTTTGCAAGACTTCTTTCTGTATAAATCAACATAAGCAACAACTCAAAACTTTATTCTTTTTTAGAGTTACTCAAATCAACAAAAGCAGACATCTAATGAGTGTGTCTAACCTGTGCAGCTAGAAGAGACTCTTGTCTGATCACCTGCATGAGCAAAAGGCAAGTAACATAATCATGCCAATGTTCCTCTTCTCTTTATAAAAAGTACAATAAAGACCTAGATAACAGACACAAATCGGTGAATGCTAGATGAATGTAGAAAAGCCAGCAACTGTAAACTCCTGTTTGTTTAGCAGTTTAAGTTCAGGAATCAGGAGTACGAATATTAGTATCAAAGGTCAAATTCAATAAAGCCAACAAGCATAACCCCTCTTCTATTCCAGAATACATAACTAACCAGAAAGAGTAGAAATTCACATTCTCAGATGCTATATATTTCATTTTCATCTTCAGTTGAGGTGCAAGCCATAGGCAGTTCAGTAACTGACAGTACCTCTTCCACACGCTGATTTACTAAAACTTCTGTTCAACGGAGACATAAAAAACTCGAGATGATCATAAGCGACAACAAATTATCTTAAATAAAATTGTTAGTGTCTAAATCTCCAAAACTAAAGCCTTCACTCCCAGCCCTGTTTTCACTCCAACAAAACAGATAATGGCCGATGAAGAAAATACATAATAGGATAAAATAGAGGACTCGTAGGACCCCAAGACTCAATTCTTGCTCATCAACCAGGGAATAATAAGAGAAAATATAAATTATACCGTGCAGGAGGGATCTTTGCTGCAAAGTTCTTGGTCTTGGAGCCCATCAACAGAGTCTTCTTCATCATCGTCGTCAACTCGATCAGAGTACTGATCAGAGTTCTCATCGTCAATGCTTCCATAGTAATAATCCTCCATTGCACTCAATTTTATTTTGGGCTTACAGTCTAATACGCGAATGATCAAAATTTTATCCAGCGATTGAATTCCACCCCACAATGTACAGTGGGGAAATTAACAAATACTAGTTCAGCAGAGGCCTCATGTGTTGCGAGAGAGAGGGTGTTATTTAGGCAGACAAAATGAAGAAGCAGCAGAATCTTTACTGCTTATTTTCCACTGAATTAGGTCAGGACCATCGCACAGCTACAATGCTTACAAAGATCAGAAAGACGAAACAGCCGCCTCTCCTAACCAGCAGAAACAGACGAGGACGAATATTCCCTCTGTCCCAGAAAGTGTGTCGCGTTTCGGGAATTGGAATTATTATCAACAGTGCAAGACTTGTAAATGATTTGCATTTAAGTTCCGGCAATAATGCCCTGCTTGACTTCCAACATAGTCATACGTGGGTGAATGATAAAAGAGGCACAGGTTGTGATAAGACATGTGGGATCCAAAAAATTTAAATGTCTCCACACTACTTTAGAGGGAAGTGTCATGCATGTTTGCTATATGCATTTAACGTAAGAGTCACGAACTATTGAATGCAGTGTTGGTACTTGGTAAGTGACCGAAAATATGTTACATTGGACCCACTAAAAGATAAGAAAAGGCGGTTACATTGAAGGATATGGAGCGAAAATGTGTAAAAATTTTCATTTCCAAATTTTAGTAAGTGACAATTATTTTGGGACAGATAAAAAATGAAAGTAAGACACTGTCAATGAGACAAAGGGAGTAATAAACTGCATGGTTAGGCCACAAACAGAAACCAACAAATCTACCGACAGTTCATCACATGTGCACCAAATTATTGCCATTACAATTTACAGCCAACACCAACCGTGAAATACTAAAAACACCGTCACTTCAATCAACGGAAATTACACAGCTTCGTTTGGATTGAGAAATTTGATGAAAGATTTGAAATTCATCAAATCGCTACAATTATTTAGATTATTTAAGAAGTATTTAAATTTATAATTCATCAATTATCGAAGCACCTTTTAAACACTATAATAATTTGTAATTCACGAATAATTTGAATCCACCAACAATCAATTGCAAACTCCTTCCTTTATATGCCCTTTCTCAAATTCAAAGTCTCATACTTTTTAGGGATAATTACAGAAACCTTAGGAGGTTTCTGACAATTTCATTGAACTCTCTTGAGATTTAAAAAATTACACGTACCTTCCTTGATTTGATAATTTTAGTAACAAAACATTAAAATAATATTGACTTGGTTAAATTTTTAAATGAATACCCAAAAATGCCATTGTGTAATGAGTTTTAATTTATTTCCCTATAGAATTATAAGATTATCTAATATAATTATAAGGAAAAGGTGCCAAATTTTTCATGTCCATACCTACTATTTGATAAACAACTATAATAATAATTTTATCACTATGATAGGATACTTTTGATGGTATTTTATTATGTATTTAGATTTATAAGATAGAAAATAAAATGTTGAAATAATTGATTCAAAGTTTATGAATTTTTTGAATAGTGGGATTATCATAATTTAGTAGTAATTTTGGGCAATTTTTTTATTTATTGTTAATTTTAATACCAAAAAATAGAAAACAAAATTAGCAAAAAACATTGGATTACGTATAAAGTTAACTCATAAAAAAATCATTAGTTCGACATTTGGTTACAATAGAAATTAGAAATAATAGTGGTAATTTTACAATTTTATTGGCAAAAAATTAAAATAAAAAGGGATGAGAAGGAAAAAGAATGAAAAAATAATTTTAAAGTCATTCTAAGTATAAGCATATCAAACAAGGGAATTTCATTAAAATATTTAAGGGTAGTATTGTCATTTTAAATGACAATGGAGGTATGTGTAATTTTTCAAATCTCAAGGAAGCTCAGTGAAATTGTTAGAAATCTCAGGGGAGGTTTCTGAAATTATCCCTACTTTTTATCCCAAAATGTTTAGGGATAATTTCAGAAACTTCCCCTGAGGTTTCTAACAATTGCAGGGACCTCCCCTCAAGTTTATTAAATTACACCTACCTCTCTTCCTTTTACTGTTTATATAACAATATAGGCCCAAAAGACTATATTTTTTCTCAAAAATCCTAAACTACCCTTTTTTTACAAAAATAATACAAAAATTATTTTGCCAATTACTTCCCTCCATATTTCAACCAAACCCACTATACTAACAAACTAACCTAACAAATAGTCTAATTCCAAATTCTAAATCCAAACAATTCCATCATCATAGTCATCAAATTGCTTCTCCCAAAGCATGCATTCAATTTTGAAAATTTGTTCGATTCTTCAGAAATATTCTCATCATATGGTTCTATGAAATGGTCAAATTCACAATCAACTGCCCTTATGTTTACATAATTTTCAACATAGGATGCCATGGTTTTGGTTCCATATAAGTGGCTTAACTCCTATTACATGAGCCACATTATGATCTTGAAGAAAATTCTTAAGGGAGATTTAGACATAAATGGGATTAATCAAGTTTAAGAAAAGGAAAGGCATCATTAGACTATAAAGATTTTCAAGAAATTCATTTTGCCAAAAACCAAAATTTCATTTACAACTAACCACATCCCAAACTTCAAACCCAATGCCCACAGCTTCTCAAAACAAATAACCTAGTCTACCATAAAATCTCCAAACATGTTAACGTGTTAAATATAGAGAAGAAACTCTATCTCCATAGCGAAATCACATCCAATAATTGTCAAGCATAAAAAGAAATATAAATGTACTTATTAACATCTTAAAAAGTTTTTTGTTTGGATGATAGACAAATTAGCAAATTTACCAATTTCAGTCCCTCTTCCTCTTTTGGCCAATGATTGTATGATTTGTTCCATTATTATTGTGTGCCTCTTCATCTCCTTTTAGTTTGACCATGAAATCGAATTTTACTTCAACCATCAAATCTAATCCCTTAACTAAACTTGTAATTTGGCAATTCCAAAGAGAAGAAAGGAGGAATAGAAATATATAGTGGAGTTTGGGGGATCACTTGTGGTGTGATTAGCTATAATTACAGGCAATGGTTAGTGATAATTTGAGAGCGAATTACAGGAGAAAGTTAATGGATGAGAATGGAGTGATAGTAAGTGATAAAAAATCGTCGTTGTCTGTAATTTATAAATAGGATAGCCGAAGAGGTCAGGTTTTTTCCTTTTTTTTAATGTCATTTCATTATACTATGAATTTTTTATGAAATGAAGGTCATTATAGTCGTTTTATTGTGACAAGGGAGGTCAGTGTAATTTGTAAAACCTAAGGGGAGCCAAGTGAAATTGTCACAAACCTCAGGAGAGGTTTGTGACATTATCCCAAATTTCTATCACTTTCAGAAATGGTAAAGTAATCTTTTTTTGTTTTGGGAAAATTGCAAAAACCTCCCTTGAGGTTTCTGACACTTGCACTCCCCTCTCCCGTGGTTTGAAAAATTGCACTGACCTCCCTTGAACTTACTGATTCTTTACATATTCAGTCTAGCCGATTAAAATATTATTTTAGAGAGTGAAATGAGAAATTTGTGCTAGATTTGCCCTTTGTATTACATGCTAAGTAGTATTAGCAAAGGAATGACAAAGTGCTACAAATCAATTAACAATTAATAAACTTTAAGGGAAGTAGTTTATGGGCAAATAAGCATTACCTATTCAAAGTACCAGTTCTTTACGGGTATTTTACTTTCAAACATTTAATTTATGATAAATACATTAATATTTGTAAGTAAAATTCAAAAAGTGTTGCAATAATATTCTTACAAAAAGAAAACCGATAGGTTATCTATTTAATATAAATTAAATATTTTTAAAAAAAGAAATGGCCCATAAAGTATTAATTCTTTATGGCTTTTCTCCATTACAAAAACAAAGTATTGGCTCTTTATGGGTATTTTATTCTGAATCATTTAATTTATATTAAATGCATAAATGTTTATAACTAAAATTAAAAAAGTGTTACACTAATATTTTTACGAAAGGAAAACTAGTAGATCCTGTATTTAACAAAAATTAAATATGCGAAAGGCCAACAAAATTTTAATTTGATATTTCCATTAGGCAATTTAAATTTGAAAACAGATTTGTATTTTACCTCTATTCACGTGTTATGGCCTCAAAATCTCTATTAGGCAATTTACATTTAAAAAAAGATTTGTATTTTACCTCTATTCACATGATATGGCCTCAAAATTTGAAACCTCTATTTAAATTTGTATTTACTTTCACATATTTAATTTTTGTTAAATACAAAACCTACCGGTTTCTCTTTTGTAAAAATATTAGTGTAACACTTTTTCAATTTTAATTACAAACATTTATGTATTTACATAAATTAAATGATTCAGAATAAAATGTTCATAAAAAGCAAAAACTTTATTCATGTAATGGAAGAAAATCATAAAGAATTAATACTTTATGAGCCATTTCTTTTTTTAAAAATATTTAATTTATATTAAATATATAACCTACCAGTTTTCTTTTTGTAAGAATATTACTGTAACACTTTTTGAATTTTATTTACAAACATTGATGTATTTATCATAAATTAAATGTTTGAGAGTAAAATGCCCATAAAGAGCTAGTATTTTGAATAGATAATACCTATTTGCCCATAAACTACATCTCTTAAAGTTTATTAATTGTTAATTGATTTGTAGTACTATGTCATTCATTTGCTAATATTACTTGACATATAACACAAAGGGTAAATCTGACACAAATTTCTCATTTCATTTTCTAAAATAATATTTTAATCACCTGGACTGAATATGGAAAGAATCAGTAAGTTTAAGGGAGGTCTATGCAATTTCTCAAACCACGGGGAGGTGAGTGCAAGTGAAAAAAATCTTAGGGGAGGTTTCTGCAATTTTCCCTTTTGTTTTCCTAGTCTTAGCCTTCAAGAGGCACGCTTGAAAATGAATACTTAAAAGTCAAGTTGTGAGGTCCAGAAAATGTACACTTTTGAGTTTGGGACGGAATGATTAGATTCCAATTCGTGCAGTACATGTTCAATTTTCTTGGTTTGGGTTCACAACCGTCCCATGTGCAAATACTATTGATAATCACAAATCCTGAGATGCAACCAAACTTTTCGGGAATGAAAGTTTAGAATTAGAGAACCCAACCAGGAAAATAGTAAAAAGGTGAAACGGAGATGATTTTACGAAGCGCGTACTTTGATTAGACCTGGACTTAAATTCGGGCTTCCGTCCCATATCGCTTGTATGTGGGTTCTTTAACCTGGACTTAAGTTTCACGGGGCCTTGTTCTATCACCAATTAGTTGAATGTAGGTTCTCTGTGAGATCCACTTAGATTTAACGAGTGTAACTTTCAAGTGTTTCTAATCTAATTGTGTGTGTGTGAGTTTATTCCGTTTCGGACAAGTGTACTTTGATAATGGTCAAATAGATCATCAAATCTTTTTTTAAATTGCACCAATTGTTTACTAAACTTTTTTTTTGTCCAAATAATCACTCATATATAGAAACATGCCACTCGAGTGCTTAAAGACAAAACTTCAAAAATCCCAAAAGAAATTCTCCAAGACTCTAACCACTTCCCAAATAAATAATTTTTCTCATGTTAATCCATCGGTGTTAGTATATTCATTTCGATCCTAACAAGACACAAGAAGTTGAATGTTTCAGCATGGACAAGGATAAGCTAGTAGATTAGCATCTTGGAAATTACTCCCACGGTTTCGCAACAAGTTGTATATTTGTTTTCCACTTGCACCAAGTTGACTCAACGCAGCATATGTTAGAGGTTTCATCGGGTGACACATATTTTTTCCTTCTTTTTGTTTTATTTATTTTGACGTCTAATCAAATTGGTAGCATTCTTACAAAGCTTAAGGAAATAAGGAATTTGTTTATATTCCTTAACAAATAAGTCAATAAAAAGAATATCTATTTTGGGTAATGAGCAAAAAAAAAAAAAAAAAAAGCACATTGCTAGACAACACCTTTTAACTTCGGGAAATCTACAATACACATTTAGGTACTATTTAATAAATTGAAATTTGAAATCTAAATTTTGAACTATGAAATTTAAATATTGAAAGTATTATTTATTAAGTTGCTAAATTGATAAAGATATATGTTTGATAACTAACTGAATTACAATACAGAATTAAAATATCACATAAATATTATACTTTCATCTTTGAAAAAAAAATTGTCTTTATTTATATATTTGGAGAGAAAGTAAAGCGTTTTGTATGCGAGGAAATAATTAAACAATTGAGAGATAGTACTTAAATATGTCTATTTGTGTGCGTATCTCCATGTGTATATGTGTATGTACGTGTCAAATGTATACTCTGTGCGAGAGCGTGCACGAGAGTGTATTATATGTATGAAAATTGTAACATATTTGATCAATTAAAAAAATTCAATAAAAAATTTTTGCTTGCTAAAATTTCATACACAAATTAAACAATGCTTAATATATTAAGTTAAGCATTTTAATTATTAAACATGCTGAATTCAAAAAATTTTGAATGAGTTAACTTTTAGTATTCAGTTGAATTATCAAACAGACCCTCGAGGTAGAACTTGGAACAATGAAAAGTTACTGCTAAATACCTCTTCACCTTCCCCTCCCCAGCTTAAACCCTCTTAAGAACGACCATTTATCAAAATTTTTGTATTTGACCGAGGAAAAATATACAGAAATATAAGGTTTACTGTTTATCCAGATTATAAACCTCATGAAAAGTAATAAACATCGGCAGAAAATAAGGCCAGAAATATTCGAGGAAAGGACTCTAGAAATCAAGATTGACAAGGCGGCGAAGTCAGGACATATATGCAACGAAAAGGCATACACGGCCATGCTTTTCCTTCCTTTCAATGAGTACCTTTGTGACTTTACTTACGAGCAAAAACCAAGTAGAATGTTCATATATCGTCTCCTCTCTATTGTGTCGGCAGCATATAGAAATACTACGAAGCATTCACCAAGAACTTCTCGCCGAACCATCTCAATGGACGAAAAATCACCCAATCCAAAGGCTGCAAGTCAAGAACTTTGTATCTTGCATCTAGTTAAGCTGTGGCAAAGAAACAAACCTTTTTAGCACTTAGTTGAAAGCACGAGGTCAAAAGCAACAATACAGCAGAACTAGTCAGTCAGAAAATGAGAATCATACCAGCTGTTACAGAGTTCCTTTAATGAAATTCTGATGCTTTCTCCACTCCCATAGACCTATATGGAACTATAATATGGTCGGGAGGCAATAATTCCTCGATGAAATCATACCTGCAAATAGCCATAAGTACCCTCAGATAAAAAAAAAGAATTTAAATAAAGTCCCAGCCCTTTCACCCCATTATTATAAATAAAACTAGCCCAGTTTCTCATTTTCAGATGTTCCTTGGCTCACGTTCAATTCCAGTTAGTAAAGCTCACAATTTCTCGCAGCGGCTATCAATATTAGCGGAGAGATAAAAAATCTGCTGTCTTGTATAGAGGACTTCCCCTTCTTTCCAATCAGCAAAAAGCTGTTCCGAAAGTTCTTCAACCTTAGACTGAAGCTGCTGCTGTTGGTCCTTGAAAAGATTCTGCTTTATTTCTCTGTCATTCTGTTCCATTGCGTTCTTGAATTGGTTATCACAAAACATGTAATATGCAAAAGGATAAGAATAGGAGGGAATCCTCCTTGATCTGAAAAGTCTATTATATCCAACTGTCACCCAGCTAAAATCTCTTAATTCATGGTTATTTTCCTCCAAGATCTCAATTTTTGGATTTAACCTGCTCTGCAACTTTGCTTCAAGCTTCAAAGAGTCTGTGTTGGCTTTGAACTGATTATAATTGTGACAATAGCCCAAAGATTGCCTTTGCGCAAGCCCATCTTTCTCCAATCTATCATCTTTATATTGGCCACAAGGATGATGATCTGCAATACTTGTGCTAGTTTTTCCGCCACAAAGCCAACTGTGAAAATAAGGACAAAAAGGTAAATCGCGTCATTTAAGTTTTGCCTAAACATATCCAAGACAAAATATTAACAACATGCAGTAAAGAAACAAAAAGAAGTTGTCCTTCATGTACTGAAATATCAGGCAAGATAGCAGAAAAGACATGCAGTACTAGGAAGCAGGCAAAATCCGTTCTCTTATCTACAAATGAAAATCAAAGACATGCTTTAGAGTTCCTTGCTGATAAATTTTGGTAATGGATGACTAAAGTTGTATAAACATGGATCAATTAAGAAAGCAGATGAGAAAGAAGCAGCAAGGAGCATGCAAAGTTAACTAGTTAACAAAACGTAATGCAGGAAATTTGAAACTGCCAATGAACTTGTGGATAGCAGCTGCATGCCCTTACTGTGCTAGTTATGATTAGATTGCAAAAGTACAAGTGTACTAAAACGTGCAGAATGAATAATGCCGTGACTGGACAAATCAAACTGTATAAGACAAGTCAGAATCTTAAACCAACAAAGAATAGGAAGACTCACCAAAATTGTTGTCCACACAAACAGCGCACTCGGTTGCATCCTCCATTCTTCTCCACTGGTTTATGACATTTAGGGCAATACTTAGTATTCGTAGAATTAACCGTCCCTGATTCATCCTGGCGCTTTTTCTTCCAAAGGTTCCACATCAAACATGAACAAGGCGAGTGAGCCTCAGATGAGCAGCTGAAAAAGAACTGTACACCACAAGCACATTCAACCTCACAATATTCATCACACTCAACACGAATTGCATTTCCACAATGAGGAACGCTAGGACACCATTTTACTTTGTCATTATCCTCAACATATGATTCTAAAAGAATCTTAGAAAACTTTTTTGCAATATGAGGATCTCTTCTATTAACTAGATTTCTAACATTTTCTTCGTCACATATTGCCTTGCACCCGTTAGCCCCGCATGTAATCCGTCTACTCTCACCCTCGTGTATCTTCATAATAAAATGCTTTGTCCAACCTTAACAAAAGAAAAGAACAGAAAATGCTTAACATTCTGCAACTTCAGCATAGAAGAACCACCTAATAGGCACATCTACTAAACAATTCACTGGAGCATCTAACTCAAGCTATTCAGCTATTGAAATAAACTTCAATCTACTTAACCCTTTAAATTTGCTGCTTTTATGGTCTGGTTACAAAATTAAGCATTTGATGAAAGAGATTTAAAAAAAAAAAGAAAGTTAAAATCAGATGCGTGATTTGCATTAACATGCACCTTGACTCTATTCCTATAGTGCCTAAGAAGTGCAACATGACGAACATCATCAGCAAACTAGTCATTTAACAAATAACCGTATTGTCCAATAGTTTCTAATCACCAAGCTTAAAAATTAATTTAAAACTCAAGTTTGTTTGACCTCATTTTTAATTTCACAGAATAAACGGCTCTGAGGATGTGTGACTGGAACTCCTTCTTGTAGTTTCTCATATTTGTTAATTCATCAATGTATCTCAAATAAATTGAAGTTCTAACATCCGTTATGATTTGGAATATCAGAACACGAGTACAGTTTCGGAGGTTCAATTTTCAGCCACCAGTCCAAACATTAACTGAAAAACACAAAATTTGTATTTCATATTAACACATTGTTCCAAGGACCAAGAAATTGATTAGAAGTTTTTAATCTTCATTTAGATAACACGCATATGCAGGATCTGGCATCATGAGAAAAGTCAAATGAAAAGATAGAATGCTATCAAGCGAGAGACTCACAGATGTTGCAAAAACAATGGGCACAATCCATCATCGAGGACTCATAAGCATTGACATGCTTAAAGCAGATTTGACAGGTAACTTCGTCTGAAGACTGAGAGGAGTTAAGATCCTTGCTGCTCCTGACCGATAGACCTGCTTCTGAATATAATCGTTCTTTACCTCTCTCTACGACAGTGGCGGATTTAAGGTGGGGGCACTAATGGCACGCCCCCACTGCGTCCTCTTAAATTCCTATAATACATATACAATTTCGGAGACATGGTAGAGAATATAGTGTTAATTGGAAAGTGCGCCATTCCCCAATTTCATCTTTTTTAATTTCTTTAGCTATAAATAAATAACTTTAACTTGTGAAATAGTTCTTGGATAGATTTTATTGTCTATTTAATATTTTAATTTGATTAGTAACTTATATATTGATTTTAATTTCTTTAGCTATGGAGAGATATTTCAAGAGGAAGCCAATGGAAAAAGAAGTCATCTAATAATAAAAAGAAGCCAAGGATAATGAAACTGCAAAAAATGACAATAAAAACAGTTGCTTGGGGATTAACTTAGATGAATTACCTGCGGATCCAGCCTAGAGAAAAAAAATTGGGGATTATCATCCAAACCTTCAAGATGAAATTCGGAGATATTACTTACAAAAGGGACCATGTCAACCTCGTGAGCATGTTTTTCCACAAAGAAAGATAGGAAAAAAGATGCGTCGATTTGTTCAGGACTGGTTTGATGATTACAAAAATTGGTTAGAATATAGTTTTGAAAAAGATGTCGCTTATTGCTTATGTTGTTATCTATATATACCAGATGTGGGTGAACAATCTGGCGGTAATAGTTTCATTAAGGAAGGATTCACAAATTGGGAAAAAAAAAAAGGATAGATTTGATGTTCATGTTGGTGGTCCTAATAGCGCACACAATCTGAGTTGGAGTAAATGTCAAAGTGGCGTGTCAAACCAGCAAAAATAAAAATTCGTACTCTAATAATATGAATTCGAGTGTAGCGGTGAGTAGGGTCATATCCACAGAGACTGGGTGATTTATTTCTTTGTGAAGACAATCAATAAAAAAGGAAATTATGAGAAATTAACTAAATAACTCACTTGAATAAAAATGAAGATAGTGGCACAAAATTAAATAAAACGAAACCAAGAAAAGGCAACACTCTAGTCAAAGGTCTAATCTCCACTTTGGTTCATTACTGATCATCGATGCAAAGGTAAAATCAATTATTCATAAATAAACTGGTTATGGTTGTTAACTAGCTCTGACAACATACCTCTCCTTACTGTTTCGATAACCACAACAAGCTCTGGGGCTATTTCTCTTGCCAATTAAGCAACCCTAAACAAGCTCTTAAGATTTAACCTATTGCTAGCATTAATAATTACAGAAGCTCCCAATTCGAACCAACAAACACACAAGCTCGGTTCATTTAAATTAGATTATATATTTCCGTGACATAAATTCGAAAGTTTTTTCTACAATCAAATTATATCACACGCCACAGCTACTAAAACCATCAAACAATTACGGATTTGATATTTTAAATGGCAATATACTATTTCGACAATTAAATATTGATCAAGTATTTAACTGTAGAAAATAATCATAATCATGAATGAATAGAGAATATATAAATACTCATAAATAAATGAAACAAATTAATCGAATTAGATCTCACAGTATTGCTGAACCAAAGTTTCAATTATCCTTCAACTAGAAAAGAAACTAGCCGCTCCTCATGGTGGATTCGTGGCCAAAACTAAATTAGGGATTATTATTTTTGAAGAGAAAAAGAAGAAAAGGAATCACAGCCCCTGACCGAAGGCTTTCCCCCTTTCTTATACTCCTACGAGACTAGTTTAATCACAATGGACCAAGGAAAATATCTCCTAAAAGAAAAAGACTTCCTTTTCTAGTCTTATTCCTACTTAAACTAATAAAGTAATAAAAATTCAATAGCCTAATTACTTTCCAAATGGAATGCATCACTCCACAATTGATCAGAACTTCCAATTTGCGGCTAATGTAGCAACAAGGACACGGCAAGTGCAATCCCGTGGGTCGTGGGTTCCGTCTTTCATTTGGTCAAATCACATGCCCATGTCTTATAGAATGTAGTCTTCTAAAAATTTCATATTTAACACACCTTTTATTCTCTTTTCAGCACAAATTCCTAGAAACAACACCAAAAATCAAATATGAGTAAAATCTATCAATTAGCACCATATTTTAGCAAAATAAAGGGGAAATTATTTACAAATTATGTGCACAATTAGCCATCTAACAAATTCCCCCACACCTAGACAATGCTTGCCCTCAAGCATTCACTACCCAAGAATCACAATCAAGATGGCAAATATTTCATAGCACAATGCATACTAACACAAGTATCATGTCTTCTCAACAATTTTATCAAAGTCAGGATGCACAAGATTCAACAGCCCTCACACGGATAATAGTGTATACACTTTGCACTCAAGTGTTTAAGGGACATTTAGCACTCAAATCAACTCCATGAAATGACATTACCATAAGCTTGATAATATATCATATTTCCACCACTTAAAATGAATTCAATGCAAAAATCTAAGGGTCTTTATAAGGATTGTAATGGGGCTACGATTAAGGGTTGGATTAAAGGGAAATTTTGAGGTGTAAATATATCAAAGGAAATACCAATAATACTTTCCATGAAGTCAAACTCCTTTTTCATTCACGTGTACAGCTAGCTTCAAGGCATGTCAATAACTTTCCCAAATTTAGCAAGTGCAAGCGCAATTTAGGCATTAGCCCAACTACCACAAAACAACACAAGTGCACTTTATAACAAATTTTTTTTCTTTTTTCTTTCACTTTTTTTCTTCTTTTTTATCCAATTTTTTCTTTTTTGTATTTTTTCATTTCTTTTTTTTTTCCCTTTTTCACAAGACAAAACTAACACACTTGCTGACTATAAACGTACTTTTGGAACACACTTGAAATTCTCATGCAAGAATATTAAGGTATTCCTTCAATATATGGTTCAAATGAGAAGGGTCAAACGAAAAGGTTTAAGGTAACAAATTTGACTATTAAACAAAGAAAAAGGTAAGGCTCAAACATGGTTAACTAAGGGTAAACAGAATTAGGGAAGGCATTTAGAAAGTCAAAAGGGTTAAACCTAATTGCCGTCATCATTTTAATGCATTAAATTTAAGCGTGGTCTCAACATGCATAACAAAGCAAGTGCTGGAATGTCAAATCATTTGTGAAATCAGTCAACAAAAGAAAATAGAGCACACTATAATGCATTGCTCATTAGGCTCAAAAGTTCACAAAATGGTTAAAATTATGTCAAAATCTAGCACTCTATCATTCAAATCAATTGAAAGAAAATAACATACTCATGCTAATAACATTACACTATTCATATTTGCATCTTGACCGCTTTTGTAAAATACAAAAGAATCTCCAAACTAGATTTGAAAAATTTTCATGACAAATTTTCGTTAATTTTCATTTGAAAGATTCCTTCCCCCACGCCTAAATCAAACATTGTCATCAATGGATGAAACTTAAGTGCAAAAAGAAGAAGAAAAGGACTTCCCTGATTATTGAGCTAGAAATTCAAAGGGAATAAGTTCCTTTAAACATCGATGTAGACGAAGCATGTAGTGAATTTCAACTTGGGATCGCAGTATTAGAGGTTTTGTTGTAAGGCGTGGGCACGCTAAATAAGAAATAGTCTTTTGTCCATCAATCCTTAAAAGTACCAATTTGCATTTGACATAAAGCGTGAGCATGTTTTATTTAAAATCTGAAACTAGACACAAAACGTGGGCATGTTTTATAACAGAAAGTCTTCTGCCCAAGGAATTTTCACCCAATCAAAGCGAAAACTTCATGACCACGTCCACGACCTACAACAAAAAGCCTTTTGTCAAAAAGAAACGAAATAAACTTAACTTTAACACAAAAAAATGAAATAAAAAACACAAAATGACTAAAAATGAAAACTCTTGGATTGCCTCTCAAGTAGCGTCTTTCTTTAATGTTTTTGGCTAGACAACACCACGTGCTCAATCTGGGTGTAGCTCAAATTTCTTTGCAACTCTTGACATTTCTCGTGAATCCAAATTGCGATTGATTACAACCTTCAAAGTGTCTCTACTATTTTATTCAAACTTTTGCTGCATGAAAGGGTTGATTACATTTATAACAAAACAGAATGTGCCTTCCTAGAACATTTCATGGCATCATAGATATTGAATTTTATTATTTCACACCATCAAATTCCATTGTCAAGGTCCCTGAATAAACATCAATTTTTTAGATGCCATTAAAAATGGCTTACCTAACAAAATTGGGGGTGAAACAGAAAAATCATCATCCATATCTAACACATAGAAATCTACAGCAAAAATCAATTTATCAACTTGAACTAGAATATCCTCCAACACCCCGTCAGGATATGCATTAGACCTATTAGCAAGTTGCATAATAACACTCGTTTCTTTTAAGGCTCCAAGATTCAGAGAATTATTAATGGAACGAGGCATGATATTTATTGCAGCTCCTAAATCTATCAATGCTTTTCGACCTTAACATTTCCTATTTTGCAAGGAACAATAAACATACCCGGACCCTTATATTTTGGAGGCAATTTCTGTTGTAGCATTGCTGAAACATTTTCTCCCATATAAATCTTTTCAAAACCCTTTAACTTTTTCTTAGTGGTGCACAATTCTCTAAGAAATTTTACATATTGAGGAATTTGCTTAATGGCATCGAGAAGGGGAATATTTACCTCAACGTTGCAAAAAATGTCAAAAACTTCTTGCTCTTGCTCCTCTTTCTTGGATTTTGCATATCGACTGGAAAATGGAGGAGGACATGTCACCACTACTAAGGGTTCATCTCTGGGCTCTTTCCTTGGAAGGGATTGAGTTGGAGATTTCATTGTTTCTTCCTTAACTTGCTCTTCAAGATCATGCTTAGATACTCCTTTTTTATACTTTTGCAATTCTTTGCCACTTCTCAAAGTAATTGCACTCACATTTTGCTTGGGATGGACAATGGTCTGTGAAGACAATTTTCCCAAAACTTGAGACTCCAATCGACTCACTACAGATGCCAATTGACTCATTTGATTCTCCAGTTTTGAATGCTCATTCTTGTCTCCTATTGAAATTGTTGTGTGTTAGTTCCTAATGATTTAACAATTTCTTCAAGAGGTATACCTGTTGTAGAAGCTGGTTGTTGATGTGGAATTGGTGGCCTTACTACATAATTAGAGTTTGAGTTATCTCTCCATCCTTGAGTGTACATGTTCGAATAAGGATTATACCCCTTTAGGGAGGACCTGGAAAGCCTCCAACATCATTCACATGAGCATTTGGCTCATCTTGAAGTGTAGGGCACTTGTCAATTGGATGATCCGAGGTTGAACAAATTCCACATGGTTTAATCTACTGCACTTGTCCTACAACCAACTTTTCTACAAGAGTAGTTAGAGAATCTAATTTTTGTTCAATTAAATGAGCACTTACCTCATTAACTTTACGGGGAATATAGTCTTGTTTGTCACCAAATTGTTGCGCATTGGCAGCCACACTTGAGATCAGTCCCTTTGCTTCTGTGGGCGTTTTATTCACCAATGCTCCTCCACTGGCAGCATCAATCATCTTCCTATCCGTTGACGATAGTCCCTCATAGAAGTATAAGAAGTTGGTCCGAAATTTGGTGATGAGGGCAACTTGCACATAATTGTTTGAATCTTTCCCAATACTCGTGCAAGGTCTCTCCATTGAACTGTCTGATCCCACATATATCTTTTCTAATACTTGCAACTCAGGAGGTAGGGAAAATTTTCTCAGGAAACTGCTGCTTCATGTCGGTCCATGTGGTAATTGATCCAGAGGGCAAATAATAGAGCTAGTCCTTAGCTTTATCAGCTAAAGAAAATGGAAAGGCTCTTAATTTTATTTGCTCCTCAGTGACTCCTTGGGGCTTCATGGTCGAGCATACCACATAAAATTCCTTGAGGTGCTTGTGAGGATCTTCACCTGCAAGTTCACGAAAAGAAGGAAGTAAATAAATTAATCCAGATTTCAATTCAAATGGTACTTCTAAAGAAGGATATATTATGCAAAAAGGTTGCTGATTTAAATCTGGTGTAGCTCAAGGTTCTCTTGTTTGTCATGACTTCAATCTCCTCTTCGGATTCACTAGAAAATTCAACTAAATCAGATGCCAATTTTAACCCAGGGGATGAAACTAACGGCCTTGCTTGTTGCTTAGTTTTCTTTTTCAGTCTACGTGCTGTCTTCTCTATCTCAGGATCGAATTGCAATTCACCTATACGAGAAGATCAAGGCATAAACTAGCAACAGAATAAAAATAAAATAAAAATAAAAAATCAAAGAAAGTAAATCAATAAGGCACCAGTCCCTGACAATGGCGCCAAAATTTGTTGGCATGTCAAATTAACAAAAAAAAAAATCCTACTCTAATAATATGAATTCGAGTATAGCGGTGAGTAGGGTCATATCCACAAGGACTAGGTAATTTATTTCTTTATAAAGAAAATAAATAAAAAAAGGGATTATGAAAATTAACTAAATAACTCACTTGAATAAAAATGAAGGCAATAGTACAAAATTAAATAAAACGAAACCAAGAAAAGGCAACACTCTAGTCAAAGGTCTAATCTCCACTTTGGTTCATTACTGATTATCGATGCAAAGGTAAAATCAATTATTCATAAATAAATTGGTTATGATTGTCAACTAGCTCTGACAACATATCTCTCCTTACTGTTTCGATAACCACAACAAGCTCTGGGGCTATTTCTCTTGCCAATTAAGGAACCCTAAACAAGCTCTTAGGATTTAACCTATTGCCAGCATTAATAATTACAGAAGCTCCCAATTCGAACCAACAAACACACAAGCTCGGTTCATTTAAATTAGATTATATATTCCCGTGACATAAATTCGAAAGTTTTTTCTACAATCAAATTATATCACGCGCCACAGATACTAAAACCATCAAACAATTACGGATTTGATATTTTAGATGGCAATATACTATTTCGACAATTAAATATTGATCAAGTATTTAACTGTAGAAAATAATCATAATCATGAATGAACAGAGAATATATAAATACTCATAAATAAATGAAACAAATTAATCGAATTAGATCTCACAGTATTGCTGAACCAAAATTTCAATTATCTTTCAACTAGAAAAGAAACTAGCCTCTCCTCATGGTGAATTCGTGGCCAAAACTAAATTAGGGTTTATTATTTTTGAAGAGAAAAAGAAGAAAAGGAATCACAGCCCTTGGCCGAAGGCTTCCCCCTTTCTTATATTCCTACGAGACTAGTTTAATCACAATGGACCACGGAAAATGTCTCCTAAAAGAAAAAGACTTCCTTTTCTAGCCTTATTCCTACTTAAACTAATAAAGTAATAAAAATTCAATAGCCTAATTACTTTCCAAATGGAATGCATCACTCCACAATTGATCAGAACTTCCAATTTGCGGCTAATGTAGCAACAAGGACACGACAAGTGCAATCCCGTGGGTCGTGGGTTCCGTCTTTCATTTGGTCAAATCGCATGCCCATATCTTATAGAATGTAGTCTTTTGAAAATTTCATATTTAACACACCTTTTATTCTCTTTTCAGCACAAATTCCTAGAAACAACACCAAAAATCAAATATGAGTAAAATCTATCAGTTAACACCATATTTTAGCAAAATAAAGGGGAAATTATTTACAAATTATGTGCACAAATAGCCATCTAACAAATTCCCCCACACCTAGACAATACTTGCCCTCAAGCATTCACTACCCAAGAATCACAATCAAGATGGCAAATATTTCATAGCACAATGCATACTAACACAAGTATCATGTCTTCTCAACAATTTTATCAAAATCAGGATGCACAAGATTCAACAGCCCTCACACGGATAATAGTGTATACACTCTGCACTCAAGTGTTTAAGGGACATTTAGCACTCAAATCGACTCCATGATATGACATTACCATAAGCTTGCTAATATATCATATTTCCACCACTTAAAATGAATTTAATGCAAAAATCTAAGGGTCTTTATAAGGATTGTAATGGGGCTACGATTAAGGGTTGGATTAAAGGGAAATTTTGAGGTGTAAATATATCAAAGGAAATACCAATAATACTTTACATGGAGCCAAACTCCTTTTTCATTCACGTGTACAGTTAGCTTCAAGGCATGTCAATAACTTTCCCAAATTTAGCAAGTGCAAGCGCAATTTAGGCATTAGCCCAACTACCATAAAACAACACAAGTGCACTTTATAACAAATTCTTTTTCTTTTTTCTTTCAATTTTTTCTTCTTTTTTATCCAATTTTTTTTTTCTTTTTTGTATTTTTTCATTTCTTTTATTTTTTTATTTTTTTCCCTTTTTCACAAGACAAAACTAACACACTTGCTAACTATAAACGTACTTTTGGAACACACTTGAAATTCTCATGCAAGAATATTAAGGTATTCATTCAATATATGGTTCAAATGAAAAGGTTTAAGGTAACAAATTTGACTATTAAACAAAGAAAAGGGTAAGGCTCAAACATGGTTAACTAAGGGTAAGCAGAATTAGGGAAGGCATTTAGAAAGTCAAAAGGGTTAAACCTAATTGCCCTCATCATTTTAATGCATCAAATTCAAGCGTGGTCTCAACATGCATAACAAAGCAAGTTCTAGAATGTCAAACCATGTGTAATATCACTCAACAAAAGAAAATAGAGCACACTATAATGCATTGCTCATTAGGCTCAAAAGCTCACAAAGTGGTTAAAATTATGTCAAATCTAACACATCTATCATTCAAATCAATTGAAAGAAAATAACATACTCAGGCTAATAACATTATACTATTCATATTTGCATCTTGACCTCGTTTGTAAAACACAAAAGAATGTCCAAACTAGATTTGAAAAATTTTCATGACAAATGTTCATTAATTTTCATTTGATAGATCCCCTCCCTCACACCTAAATCAGACATTATCCTCAATGGATGAACTTAAGTGCAAAAAGAAGAAGAAGAGGACTTCCCTGATTATTGAGCTAAAAATTCGGGAGGGAATAAGTTCCTTTAAACATCGATGCAGACGAAGCATGTAGTGAATTTCAACTTGGGATCGCAGTATTAGAGGTTTTGTTGTAAGGCGTGGGCATGCTGCATAAGAAATAGTCTTCTGTCCATCAATCCTTAAAAGCACCAATTTACATTTGACATAAGGCATGGGCACGTTTTATTTAAAATCTGAAACTAGACACAAAATGTGGGCACGTTTTATAACAGAAAGTCTTCTGCCCAAGGAATTTTCACCCAATCAAAACGAAAACTTCATGAGCACGTCCACAGCCTACAACAAAAAGCCTTTTGTCAAGAAGAAACGAAATAAACATAACTTTAACACAAAAAATATGAAATAAAAAACACAAAATGACTAAAAATTAAAACTCTTGGATTGCCTCCCCAGTAGCGCCTTTCTTTAACTTCTTTGGCTGGACAATACCACGTGATCAATCTGGGTGTAAATCAAATTTCTTTGCAGCTCTTGACATTTCTTGTGAATCCAAATTGCGATTGATTACAGCCTTCAATGTGTATCTACTATTTAATTCAAACTTTTGCTACATGAAAGGGTCGATTGCATCTATAACAAAAACAAAATGTGCCTCCCTAGAACATTTCATGGCATCACAGATATTGAATTTTATTATTTCACCATCAAATTCCATTGTCAAGGTCCCTGAATAAACATCAATTTTTATTTTAGATGTCATTAAAAATGGCCTACCCAACAAAATTGGGGGTGAAACAGAAAAAACATCATCCATATCTAACATATAGAAATCTACAGGAAAAATCAATTTATCAACTTGAACTAGAATGTCCTCCAACAACCCATCAAGATATGCATTAGACCTACCAGCAAGTTCCATAATAACACTCATTTCTTTTAAGGGTCCAAGATTCAAAGAATTATAAATGGAACGAGGCATGATATTTATTGCATCTCCTAAATCTATCAATGCTTTTTTGACCTTAACATTTCATATTTTGCAAGGAACAGTAAACATACCTAGATTCTTATATTTTGGAGGCAATTTCTGTTGTAACTTGTGAGTAGTTGGGGCTTAAATCAAGAAACTAGCCTTCAAAGAGTTTGTGATACACGTTGGGGTTCACATTTTGGCTCGTTGTTAAAGTTGATTCTTATGTATGATTTTGTAATAGATGTTCTTTTGATACTTGAAAATGATGGTCTTGTGGAGCAAAGAGGTCAAGCATATGCACTTCTTAATTCTTTGCAATCTTTTGAATTTGCATTTATTTTAAACTTGATGAAGAAAATCATGGGAATAACGAACACACTATCTGAAGCATTACAAAGGAAGGATCAAGATATTGTGAATGCTATGGGTCTAATCAAAGTTTCCAAGCAACAATTACAAGCTACTAGGGAACATGGATGGGATTTTTTATTTGATGAAGTTTGTTTGTTTTGTGAAAAACATGAGATCATTATTCTGAAAATGGATGAAATATTCATTGCTAGTGGGAGATCTGGAAGAAAAGTTTAGCAAATTACAAACCTTCGCCACTATCAAGTCAAGCTATTTTGTGCTGTGATAGATTTACAACTCCAAGAACTGAACAATCGTTTCAATGAAATCAATATGGAGTTGCTTCTTTGCATGGCGTGCTTGAACTCAAGTGATTCCTTTGCAGCATT